TATATATATATATATATATATATATATATATATATATATAACCAAAGTTTCTTATAATTGAAGTTACGGATAAATGACAGCATTAACAATTATTTTATTTGTTATTTATACATTATATTATTGATCTAAAAGATGTATGCTACTCTGTAATAATATACATTTACGGCATTAATTTCGAAATTGCACAGTATACAAAATATCCCTTCGCAATTCAATGTATAAATAATAACTTTATATTATAATCTTACGTGTATCGTAATGTAACAGCTGGTTAAAATTCGACTTCTAACGAAAATTAACAATTTATAAGTGAAACATTTAAGTGAGATACATTATAAATTAAATTATGCAAAGTATAATAAACTCACTTTATGATGTGATGCTTATGTTAAATATGTAAGCTTGTTTTAAACTTGAAAAAAAATTAATATCTCATTACAATATCTGATCTATTCGTATAATTTAATACAAACATTGTATTAATGTTGTATAATGTAACAAAAATATATAAAAATCGTTATAGACATCACAGGTCCCAAGTATCACTCTAATGTTGCAAGAAGAGAAATATTAAAAAAAGTTTAAAATACATTAAATTTACTCAGACAAATTTAATACATGTCTTTTCTTCAGACATTTAATATATGGATTTTCTTCATTTTCATTTAAATAGACAAATGCAGAAAATTATTTATGCAGAGAATCTTAACAAGCACAAGATCAAATGATTCAACAATGTATTCATTCAACACAACACTTCAAACATACATAGTTTTGTTACTTTAAAATAGTATGTCGTCTTACAAATTATACGTACAAATCGATTCCGAATGTTCCAAGAATTATTGTACAAATCCCTGTTGTACATTGTAGGAACATTAATTTCAAATACATATGGTACGTGAACCAGAGATCACAGTATAATATATTTCAATTCTATCTGTTTTTAAAAAGTTCTTCAGAATTAAAGTAATGTTTTATAAAATTAGCTTTCCACCATTTGAAGCTCGAATCTGTGCAACTTGCTCAGGAGTTAAAATCAATTTGCTTCCGTTTGGTAGTGCTAAGGCATAATGGCTTCCAGTTTCGTTTACGACAACTACCAACTGCGTATTGGTATTTTGAACTGGTGGTGTAGATTTGACAGGTGTTATAGAGATTCCTCCTTGATTCATACGTTGAAGTATCTGTGGAGGAATTCTGCTTTTCATTACTGTGACATCCGATGTAACTGTTGGCTTTTGTCTAATTTGTACGGTGTTTTTCTTAGGTATAGACTTTGCCTTTTCTGCTTCAGTCTCAGAATTAGTTTTTTCTGTAATGATCATCTCAATTTCATCGTCGCTGTCGCTAAGAACGATTAAAGAAGTAGTTTTCTGACTGGTGTTTATTGGAGGTGTGCTTGATTTTCTCGGTTTCGACATTTTAACAGATACGTTAGGAGTGCGTTGAACGTTTTTTACGGCCTTGGGTCGAGCCGCGTTTCCTCTTATAGATGCATTACTTTTTGTAACAACTCCATTAAGATGTGGATAAATCTGTTTCGGTATAGGATACCTAAGCTTAGTTACTGGAGTGGAACTAGATTGAACTGGAAACGTAGGATTCTCAGGAATATTCTGCGAAACAATCTGTTGATTCGTTGTAGTTATATATTGAGATTGGGGTTGAGTTGTCGTTACCATGTAAGGTACATAACTGGAATGATTGATAAACTGCTGCGGTGCTATCATTTGTGGTTGTTGAGGTTGAAATGGATGAGAAGGTACGAAATTACTTTGTGGATTCTGGATAATATAATTTTGTGCCCCTTGTACATAATAGCCTTGCTGAATCGGAGGTATGATACTCGAGACCATCGGACCAGACTGCACGATCGCATTTTGTGAAACGACGGTTGCAGAATTTGGTTGCATCACATAATAATTCATTGGATTCGGCTCAGTTTTCAGCATTACATAGTTAGAATTAACCGTGTAACTGCTATCGAAGCTCGGCGCAGAATCGTAGATAGGGCCTTCTTCTTTGATGTCCAGTTCCGAATGCACGCTTGCGACATTTTCTACTTTGCAATTTACTCCCGTAAAAAGCACTGGTTCTTTAGAATTATTTGCTACTATAGCCTCTTGGTTCTGTATCGTATTGTTGCTGTTAGAAGGTTCCGACTTCATCGATATCTTTGGTTTGCATATTTGGATTTCTTTGATTTTAGGACCTTCCTTTTCATTACTGATCTTGTGAGGAAAAGTTAATTTTGATTCTGCCGCGTCTTGGAGGGCATCAACTTTGATACTTTGTAATTTGTGTTGAAAAGACTTCAATCTTCGATTGGCAGCTGCAATAGCATAATTTTCATTATGATGTTTCATAATATTTTTCAAAATCGTTGCAATTTTTATGTATGTACTAATTATCAAAAAAAGTTATTAAAATGTTAATTATAATAATTATTTATGTTGGAATGCTTACACGGACGTTTATTTTTCCGTTTGCGAGAGCTTGGTAGAATCCAATCTTGGTCTGAGTCCTCCTCTTCGTTCGCCCGATCGTTAATGTGTCTGACTTTCGGAGCAAGATATGAAGTGGATGAACCTGTCTGTGCGCTGGGAGCCGCGTACACGGCCTCAACGTCGGTCCATTCTTCCAGCTCGTTCTCCTCGATGTCGTCATCTGAATAAAGTTGTTCTGTGTATGATGAAACGCCTCGGGCTCGCAATACTCTTCGCGTTTGTTGTTCTGCTATCATAATAAAGAATTAATCAATTATCATATCAAAACTAAACTAAATTTCATTAATTGCTTTATACCTCTACCTTCTTCGCTTGAATCTTCTTTCGTCTCTTCTTCAGTTCTTGCGTTTTTTTGACCGTTGCTTTTGTTTTTTTCAGACTGTTCTCTTCCTGTTTCGTTTTGTGAACTTTCATATTGAGATTCTTCTTTGCACTCAGGATCGACGTTTTTGCTACGTTCTGCGTTACTAATGTTTTCCTCTTCGTTTTTGTTAGGGACGTTTTGGAAGCTAGCTGAGGATATGGCAGGTTGCGGTAACATTTGTAACGTTGCGTCTCCGGAGGTTGGCAATTGACAGCCCTGCGATCCAACAACCCACCAATTAGAGCCGAGACCCTCCCCAGATGAGTCCTGATCCTCTGCACTGCTACAACATACAACAACTTATCTATCACATACGCTCGACAATGAAAGCAACGTTACTGAAAGAATGTGGATGAGTTCCACTTACGGATCAGATTGTAGCAAGTTCAAGAGGTTTCAGGCAAAATGAACCTTTTAATCTGGGAATGATAAATATGAAAGATTGTGCAAATCCATTCATAATATATATATATATTTTTTTTTTATCTTTCAAAATTATGTTAATTCCCAGATTAAATTTGATGAGATGTGATAGTGTAGATGATATTGCTTAATTTAATACAAAGCATATATACCCTTCTTTAAAGTTAGTCCATTCCTTGTGAAGCTTTCCTCTAGCTCTCTTCGTCGAGTCTCGCAAAGCTGGTTCAGTTTCCTCCAAAGAGGACAGTAATTCTGTCATTCTTTTAACTAATTTTATTTCACATGGTGGTATTAGTTCGGTCTAAAGACATAAAAGGTCAGTCAAGAAAGAAATTGTAAGAAAGTAATTTTAAGTAAAGTAAAATGATTATGTACCTCGCCGTCAATATCAACACTTAGATTGCTATTTTTTGAAAATGTAGAAATAAGATCTCTTAATGAATTAACACTATCAGCTACAAGTTGAAATTTTGAGACACTAAGTTCTGAAAGCATCGCATTGAAATCCTCTGTTCTCTGTTTCCATCTTTCCAATTTTGAATGCTTCGATTTTCTTAGATTGTATTTAACCTCGCTGTTCTCGTCAAAAGAGAAATCATCGTCCATCGCTTCTTTTTGTAACATACTTCTTAATTCGCTCAGGGAAAGATCTTTATCGTCAGATATTATTTCATCTTTACATGTCTGATCCAATTGTTCGTTACGCTTTTTTTGTTCTTTAATAAACCTTCCATTCCGTCTGGTAATTTTACTTTCCATTTTTTCTTCGGAAAGACTACCATCATCTTGCTTAAAAATGTGCGTTCTCGTCTCATTTAATTTCTCGTCGTCAGATTTCGACGTGATAGATATTCGACGCGTCTCTCTAACATCACGAATATTGTTGGAACTTTTATCATTTAATTTCAAGTTTTCTCCACTGATAATTTCATTTAGCTTTTCATCATCTGTTTTGGAGATACTAGATAAATTGTCAATGGTTCTTTCAATAGAATCATTCCTATTTATATGTAGATCCATCGTATCTAAATATTGTTGCTTCGTTGAATTTAACTTCAATTTATCTTGCGAAACGTGTGTCAAAGACATGTCGTTATCTTCTGCGCTTTTCTCTTCGCTAGTTTCCGATTTTAAGTTCTTCAAAAGCCCGTTGATTATGTCTATATTATATTTAATATTATTACTATTATCAGAAAATCCCTTAAACATTTTTTTAGATGATCTCTTACCGGGAAGACCCCGAATAGAATTATTCGAATTTGTACCTTTACATGTTTTATCAGACGTAGTGATTATTTCCGAACATTTCGACGAACTTCTTGATCTCTCCATGTTGATAGTATCTAAATTAATATTATTATTATTATTATTATTATTACTATTACTACTACTACTATTATTGGTGTTATTACTGTTATTATTATTACTATTGCTATTATTGTTATTACTACAGGTGCTTGTACTACTAAAATTCGTGTCTTCGTTTGTCAACGAGCCTATTGCACTGTCGCTACTGCACTTGCAGTCGTTGAGATGTTTTTCATCAGATTTACTTGTCTTTCTCCTCGATTTCGGAGGCAACCCATTACTCCATCGGGATTTTCTTTTTCTATGTTTAGTCTTCTTTTTTATTAATTCATTTGAAACTAATACTTTGTTTTCTAATTCCGTCTTTTGTTTTGGTTTGATTGGCTGAAATAAAAATAGTATACATAAAAGAATACATAAGAAACATAAATAATATAATACAGACAAAAGTGAAGTAAAAAAAGTAATTGGATACCTTCACTGTGGATAATATTTTATTATCAAAACAATGTCTATAAACTCTCAGATCACTTTTAAGAAACTGTGGAAAGTAAATGTATCTTGCTCCATAACGATCGGTTCCTAAAACGGTTTCAAACTGATCTTCCCATGGTTGTTTAGCTACCTCTTCTTGCACAGTTTTTCTAGAATGCTAAAAATTGTATTCTATAGTATTATATTTAACTTTATATATGTATTATATTTAACTTTCACTAGTTAAAATATTTATCAATTAAATTAAATTCGATTTTATCGCAACAGTTTCATGTATCTTAAGCAATAGTGCAAAACTCTGAAATTTTTAATCTTTGGGATCTGATTTTTTTATCATGCATAGAGTGCTTCTTTTTCTGCATTTTTGCATACCATGACTGTATCACAGACTGTTTTTAAAAGCCAAACTTTCTGTTTGAAAGTTAACTCCTCAAAATCCTTGCCATTTAGCAGAGGAGCATCGGGGAAGACATTCCAGAATTCCGGCTCCACACCAATAGTTTCTAGAATCTAAAAACTTTCAACTACATTTCTGATCACTGTAATATAAAACATCTATGTATGTAATTTAAATAAATGATGATATACAGGTGATGTGTATTACTTTGTAAGAAGTGATGACACAAAAGTGACATCATTATCACGAAGCACAAAGATGACATACACTTACTTTTACAGCATTCTGATGTTTAGCTTCGTACATTTTGAACCAGCTTTTCATCTTGTACGCAAGAATGTTTGTCCAGAATTCATATGGCATTGGTGGTATTTTCCTTAATTTTGCTTTGGTCATAGGAGAACTAAAATTAAAAGTTTTCTTAATGTCACGAAAGTGTTGATCAACTTATAAAAATATTTAGAATATTTAATATCTTGTTTACTTTATCCAATGCAATTTTATATAGAAAAGAAATACTAAAAATGTTTCGATTTTCTTTTTTTATTTAGTTGCAAGTATCTAAGAGTTTAGTTACACATTATTTTACCTCAACAATGATGTCATGATGTTTGCTAGCTGTTTGGAAGCTCTAGGTATCAAAAGCATACGTTCCATCTCGTACATGGACAAGTGAGGTATGTTCAGAGCTTCTTTTGCCAGATGAAGGAAATGAAATATCTGCGGAATCTGAAACGATTACAAAACGTTACAAAAGAGAATTTATAATTAGGATATAAGCAATAGAAGTATGTACCTCCCACATGGATTCCATTTCGTTTCTTATTTCCTCTGGAAAAATGTTCTCCTGTTCCCAGTCAACCATCGACTGTTCCTCTTCCTCCAACTTTCGTTTCCTATTCTTCTTCGACATTTCTGTAACTTAAATGAAGAAAAACGACATTTGAACCTAACTTTTACAAATATAACTAAATAACTTTTGAAAGATATCTAAGTTTTTGCAAAAAATTTCTTTAATGAAGTAAATCTATTTTCTTAAAATAAGAATAATATAAAAATAATATAATGTAATATAATAATATCTATTTTTTAAATAGTGTTGAAGACACGAACGATTGGAGTCGGTTGCATGCCTTTGTTTATGTCACTTGGTGCCAAAAGATTACTCATTGATTTGACTTGTTGATGGGTTTATTATTCAGGAAGTTTGACTGCTTCTGCTTGATTCAGACAGGTAATTTTGTCTGACTAACTAAGCTACAACAATGGCTGAGTTGAATTTGCTTAGTTGAATACTGACTTACTAATTGATTTAATCACTAACTTAACTTACTGTGGATCCCTGACCAAAATCCCTGACTGGACTAATTACTAACTGTATCTACTGAGTGAACTGATGCATAACTTCTGACAGTGCTCATTCAACTTGATCACTGAATTACAAGTCATTGGTTGTGATCTCCTCAGAGTCCTCTTATACAAGGAGATTTAGGTTAGGGTTAGGTTCCAGAATTTCTCATTACTTGCGTGGGCTGACAGATATGGGAAACAGTCTCATCATCTTTTGGAAATCATCCAGTTGCCTGCATAATACTTTCGATACGCACTTAGTTCATGATATGGTAATTATTATGCGAAAAAAATTCCTAGCACTCGAAACTAACTCAGTTGTAAATTCTTTAAATTATTGTCTATATATAAGGGATGCGAAAGATATATAAAACTATTTCTTAATCGTCCATGTCATAAATCGTACATACTTTAGTTAAATTTTAGAATATTTTAAAACTGCATCATTTATAGAAAAAGAAGAATTTCCAAACGTTTTGATACAAATGTAGAAAAGAAAGAAAAAAGGAAGAAAGAGAAACAAATATAATCAAGATTTCTATGCTAATTATAAAGCTGTTCTTACTTTACAATTATATAATTGCATATTCAAAACTATTTGTGTATTCAATGCCTTATTATCGTATAAATAGAATCATTAATTAGAATCGTATGCAATTTGAAAAACTGCCACCGTTTCGCAATCACCGTCATCTCTTACAACGTTTTCTAACACAAAGTAAACAACGATGACCTACTACCGACAAATGAATGTCAATGTAATTTCACGTACAAGTGTAAGTGCACTTCTCAACGTTGTGTATAATCCTTTAGATTAAGTCTCTTTCATATACATTCCATAAAAGTTTCATGATGCTCGTTTTTCATGCTTGAATGTCGAAGGTAATATTTGCACGATAACGCGAATAAATGTTGCTTAACCATGAGTACGCTGGTTCTGCAAACATTTGTACTTCGCAATCAACAGAACCTTCCGTCGTATAGATCGTAATTGTTGTATACATTTTTCAAGTACGCAGCTGAGTGATTATTATAAGATGCAATTATCGACTATCGTAATTATATGCAAGATATAGAAATAGGAAAATTAAGTTTAAGTATGAATATTTTATTCGTTTGTGTTGCAACTGGGTAAAAAAAGTATTACATAAAATATACGAAAACTTCATTTGACAATTCAATCATACAGGATATTTTATAAAATATCACCTGTATGGTTATAAACAAAAAATTCAAATAAAAACTGTCATTATTATTTTATATTATAGTTAGATTTATATTATAATTATTTTATATTATATATTTTATATTAGATATTTATGCAAAGTTATATTTTTAAAAACAGTCTTTTGTTTCAGAGAAATAGATTGTAAAAACATGAACGCTTGAAAATGTTATAGGCGTCCCATAAGTACAAAAACATTCTAATTCAAATAGTCGTTTTAAAAGAAGAGAAGGAAAATAATTTAAATTTCTAATGGATTCTACTTAAAATTCATTCGCTTCTTTCATTCTTATATCCAGAAGTAATAAGTTATAACAATAAACGATCGCGTGCATAGTTGTTTAATATTGATTAGTCGATACTCTTCCTATAATTATTTTACTCTCAACAGCTAGTGAATGTAATTTTCACTCGCGTGAGGATCACCGATGAGCTTGTGAACTTTCTTCTTCTATCTTGCTAAAAAATCATGTTCCATCAAGATCATCTTTGCAACTTGATCTACGCAAAATTGATTGCATTGATAACTATGTTCTTCGAATGACCTTGTGTCTCGTTTCCATCACTGCGTAAGACGTAAGACTTCTATTTTCAGGACACGTTTAGAAAAACATGTTAAGTATGTCATAGAATTTATCATTCGTGTTTTTAGTAATAATAAACTGGAAAAAAAATTAAGTAAATGAATATTATGTGTATTATAACATAATGTTGATTATTAATTATTAGTTATTAATTATAACATAACATAACATTAAATCATAATATAATATAATGTTGATTCATAATTTAAAATAAAAAGATGTAACTAATTGTTATACAGCGAATTTTTATACATTTACAGGAAATTTCAAGGTGCACAAATGCATGTTGTGCTCATATAAAAAATAATATTTGAAGTATAATGCTTTATATTTAATAGCTTCATTTTTTAAATTGTATTTATAAATTTGCATAGAAGTCTGCAGTATACTAATTATATAGTATAGTTAGTATAGTTAGTATAATTAGT